CCCGCCACAAGGCTCAGTCTAAGGCCTGCAGGCATCCTCCTTCTTTGACCTCTAGTAAGGAAAAGTTGTGGTGGGTGAGCAGTTAAGGGAGGGCTGTAATAGAGACTGAGCTGGACAGGAGTCACGCAGCCACCAAGGGGTGTCATGGCCACCCCTGGGTCATGAACCTGCCACAACCACCTTTCCTAGATATTCCCAGGATATTTCGTTCCTGTCATGGCTGAGACATTACAGGTCTTCCACACAGCCAAGCATACAAAATATGCTGTTAAGAAAATGGAGTTGCACCTTATATGCATTGCGTGCATACCAGCACTTTGTTTGTTAAAGGGTTCAAAAGAAAGAGAGTGAATACTCATTTGCCACATACAGTGGTAAAATAAAATGATTGTTGAAGGTATCAGTCATTCTGACAATTTAAGCTGACACTTGGCATTTTAGTTGCTGCTGAATGATGCACCTAGGTTTGAGTAGAGCACTGGTTTTCAACCTCTTTTCATTTGTGGACTACTAAAACATTTCTAATGGAGGCGTGGTCCCCTTTGGAAATTTCAGATGGAGGTGTACACCCCTTTGAATTGTAAGTGTGGGTATTCACAAATGCAGGAGTTCTCTTTGTAAATTGTCCTTGACCAATGCTTATTCATCCTCCTCTTGAAAGCCTCGGTGATGAAAGCCTCGGCCTTAGCATTGGAATGTTACTGGATAATAGTGTGATAGGAGCGCAGTGGGTGCCATAGAAGAGCAGCAGTGAGTGGTGGCGGATGTGTGTACACATATACACTTGTGTATATTTTTATATTATATATATATATATAAATTTTAAAATAATAACATTATAGATATGAACAGTTACATGTGAACCCACATTTTGTATATTCGGTGAAATGCACAGGATGTTCAGGGATAAGGAAAGGAGCACAATGCCATTTATCAAGTTAATTCCTCTGGCATTTCCCAGTTCAGTCCCAACATTCTTGTCTAAGGTAATTTCTGCCAAAGTGGATGACAAAAAAAAAATCACATGGAAATTTGGCAAGTCATTGTTGAAGCCAACGGCCTGTCCTCAAGAAGTAAGATATATCTAGTTTTTTACACCCTGTACTTCAAAAAGAGCTTTTATCATCTTGAATGGGGATACCACATCAACTAAGAAGATGCAGTGACAAATAAAACTGAACTCCTATGTACCAAATGTATGTAGATTCTGTACATCCTATTGAAAGTTTAAGGAAATAATTAGTGCCTGTGACTGAACCCTGTTATGACAGTTTCTAAATACAGACTTTTACTGACAGTCTATTCTGTTCCTTTCTGTTTGTTTTTTTTAGGATAGTGAAAAGAAAGGATTTATTAATAAACTTTATGCCATCCAAGAGGTTTGTGTCAGTGTCCAAAATGTCCTTGATGAAGTGGCTTCACTTGGAGAAAGGATAAAGAAGTAAGTGCTGACACATTGGTGCTGGATTGCTTTCTGTGGTATTCACATTTTTTTCACCAGCTGAGGTGCAAAGTATTACTTTTATTTTTTGGCAAAGGACTCCATTTTGGGATGATGTATTGCAAAATCTTATCATTAGTTACTTCGCTTTGTGCTGACCCTTGGTTTCATGAAAGTCCTGTCATTTTAATTCTGGAATTTAGAAGTATATGAATTGGAAAAGGATCAGAACTGCAGCTTTGAAGTAAGAAAGAGGACTGTCCTTCACCTGAGAGATGGAACACTTTTTAACCTAGACATTGAATGAATACAAAGTCTTGATCAAAGAAGTACATAGAGCTAAATAAATATTTGAGAGTTTTTAAACATACACATATGCTCAATTGCTAGGAAGCCTTTTTTTTATGATAGGTTACTTTTAGAGCAGTTTTCATCTGTTGCAGGTGTATTATTTATGCATAAAATATATGCTTTACCAACAAATGTAAACATTACAAATAAATAGGTAAATACTGTGCAGAATATATGGGGAAATTTTTTCAATGGTGTGTTTACATCTGAATGATGCTGGCCTATTACAGGAAGTGTGGTATAATTCTGGCATGTTCAGCCAATGAATACTTCTATTATTTGAGACCAGAAAGATTCTACAAAGAATCTCTCGGCTAAAAGACAGGGCTGATGTCTGCTTGGGCTTTTGCCAGAAAAAGGCCAGCAGTAGGTCCTTCCAAAGTAGGAAGTTTGGTGCAATGTGCTCAGGACCTTCTTGGCGCTGTAAGCAGCACAGTGCAAAATATGAGGCAGAAGGCGACTAGGAGACTATTGTCATTCCAAACAGCCCCACAACAGGTCCACCAGGGCTTTCATGGTACACTCGAAGTAATGCAAAGGTGGAGATAACAGCCCCAACACTGGTTTACTACTTATTTCGAATACTGTCCAGGGACTCCAGGTGTCCAAGGAGCTAGGCTCACATTGCTAAGCGGTAGTTATCATGAATTAGGCTTAACTGCTCATTTGTACTCTGTTTCTGATAATTCAGTCTGCACACAGGTACATGGCACCAAAACACCAACTGGCAGTGAATTTTAAGAAAATGATGTAATGTCATGGGGTCAGGAGACCATAACTATAAAGCATTGAGTCCTCTCATCCTCTTTTACTTCACCCATAGCATGGGCCCATAGTAAGCTTTTCAGTGTCAGGATGAACAGAATGTTGTTACAGAAGTCGTCATCTACGCATTTCAGAAAAACAGACCGTAAAAGGGAAGTCTGGGAAGTCTTCCTGTGGGGGTACTTGTGAAAAACGGTGCATTTTGCAACCTCAAAACCAGGCATACACACAAGAGTAGAAGCAGGTTTGGTACTTTATATTGGGCAGACTCTCAAAACTAGCCTCTTTTTAATTAAGGCTGTTCAAGGGAGTCATCTTGATCATATTTTTCAGCTTGCATTTTGGAATTAGATTTGTGTTCCATTGTATAAGAAAAGAGAGCAATATCATTTGCTAAACAAAGTGAGATTAATAACACTTCCTATAAATCTTTGTAATTTGCTCCTAAAAATGTTATAGGGAATTTGTACTGAATACAGTGCTAACACAGCACATAAGGAGGTTTGCTAAGTGAGGAGCCAGTGTTCCCACACATGAGGTGTCTGTGATCCATAGCACCAAGCCGAGTCACAGGAACATGAGCAGACCCTCAACCTTCTGTTCACCCCAAATACATGCAGAAGAAGGGAAAAGAGCAGGTGTCCCCTGAGGAGAAAGGGACTGATCCTACACCAAGTGACACTAACATAATGTTCACTCTGGAGACATGTCAAAATTGCCAGGGGAGAAAGAAGACAAAACAAGAAGCCAGAGCTCATTATGAAAAATATGGCTAGCAACTCAGACAGCAGTAATTATTTAACCAGAGAAGCCAGAATAATTTAGCCACAATGATCAGGGTACGCAGTCAATATAATTTAAAGATACCATCAAGCTGTTTTGAGCCAAAAACATACTTTCTTTATGGGAAGATAAATGCCATGTGAAATCTTTGGAGTGGTGGTGCTTTTATATAGCCATCCCACTTAACCAAAGATCCCCTGGGATTATTTAACCTGGCCCGTTGCCATTTCTCTCTTTTACAAGCTGAGGATTGGAATCCACACCACGACTGCTTCAAGATTTTATGCATAATCCTCCTCTTCTCCCATATCACAGACTCTGCAAAGTGGCTCCCCAGTTGATCTTTATTCCACTCAGGAATTTGAAGCTCAAAGTGAGGCTCTTAATCTTAAAACTTGATGTAAAACCAATTTACCTGAAGCTTCTTTGAAACCTCAGTTCTTCTGTGCCTAGATAGATGAAACATTTACACTCATAATCAGCTTGTACAGCCCTGAAAAAATGAGTAGGCAGATGGCATAAACCCCTCCACTGAGCTAACATTACCCAGTCTGGTAGAGAATTACCCTAAAAAGGAGAGGGAACAAAAATCTACTGGGGGAAATGATGCTAGTGTAGTTGCCATCTGTTTGTAGCTTATCTCAAGGTAAACATTTGGTCCAGGAAATGAAGTGATGAAATACTAAAGTAATGCATACCTGGGTGTGCAGCTACTCTGGGAGAGCTGGTCATCTAGCCACTCTGGACCCTGCTGTGATTTGCACTGGTGTTCAAAATCAACCTAAGTTAGATTATTGTAATAATACTATGTCTAGGCCTTCTGCTTCCTCCTTTGTCTCCCAAGGAACACTTCCCATTTTGTTGCAGCTTTGCTTTTCCCTCCTATAATTATTTTTTTTATTGTGCCTCCTCCCTGTCCCTTTCTCACCTTTCTTTTTTAGCGCTCTCCTTTTCTCTTTGCTGCCCCAATTCTCAATACTGTGTTCCTGTCCTTTTCTCCCCGTATTATACCTCCTTTTCCTTCTGTCTCCTACCCTTTCATACCTATTACCTATCAAACCTGCCTTTCTGAAAGGTTGCTTTCCTGCATTGTAGAAGGGTTGCCCACTTTGCACACCTGCATAGTTTTAGTCAGTCCTGACCCCACTGTGACTGAAAGACCACTGACTTGGGAGTATTACTACATATGAAACAGAGACAGGGAAGCCACTCAGATCCACAGTTAACTCCTTGTCTGTGTTTCAGAGTGCCAGAGGAGAATTATATTAGAAGACCTAACCAGCACTGTGCAATATTCCAGCCGTTAATAATGGAGGTGGGGGGAAAGGACACTCACTTGGGCCTTGTTTGAGCAAATGAACTAAAGACAGGGATATGAGTTGTCTTTGTGAGTAAACTTGGAAGAAAGGAAATTTACAATTTTTTCTGGAGGTAAAATAGGGGAAGGTATTGGAATTCCCCACCCCATGACAACAGTAGTCTCTCAATGGCATGCAGGGCCCCAGTTAAGTGAGTTGGGAGAGATTTTTTCATATGGGATGAAGAAGCTAAGGCTCACTTTCATTTCCTTATGGTGTGAATACAGATCTGAGATCTTCCACCTATTCTGCACCCATTTTTTCTTACACAATTTCAGTTCTGTCTCACTAATGAAGACTGACTCTTCTGTTTGCAGAGCTGTAGTCTGCCTGTTCTTTTGTAAGTTTGGTAAGGCAATTAGACTTCTGACTTATGTTAATTTTTTGTTTAGTACATTCAACTGGACTGTCCCATTCTTAAGCTGGCTGGCAATTGTTGCCCTCTGTGTGTTCACAGTCATCCTGTATTTCATTCCACTGAGATACATTGTCCTTGTCTGGGGTAAGTAAAGCCTTTTTTAACTGTCTGTGCCACTTAGAACAAACTGTTTTTTAAGGGATGAGTTACACTGTCAGTAGTTTTCTGTATTTATGGTCATGAAGCTACTCCGTGATGGAAACAGACAGGTTAGTTAAAAATCACAACTGTGTAAAGATTTAGGCCCACCTGCAAAAAGCATTTTTCTTGTCTGGCATTGTAGACTTCATCATACTATAAACATGTAGCTGTGAGGATTCTTCATATATCAAAGTGTAGCTTTGTCTAGATATTATTCTGATTTATTTTCACCACTTATACACAAACAGAGGCATTTCAATCTATATAGTGCATTTAGGACACTATGCTTTTTTACTGCAGCACTTTATCTTGTGGAAATGTATGTAAACACAGTGCCAAAAAGCTGTTTAAAAGGTCACCTTTAGGCTAACAGAAAAGCACGTGTGGTATTTTACCCATGGATAATTAACAAAAAGTAGTTAAGTTTCTTTTGGGGACAGAGCTGACCCTCAATGGCTTGTTTCCATTTTTTATACAGTTTTAGGAAAGCTAATGTACTGCATACCAGTTCTAAAAATTGCTTTATGTTTTAACCATACATTTTTAACAAAAACCCTCTTCTGTATCGGCAATACCTCCATTCTGTAGGTACACACCCAGCGTAAAGAAAATTGGCTCATTTACATGTGGAGCAGCAAGCTTTTGTTTCCAAAAAAACCCCAACCCATTAAATAAAAATAAATCATGCCTTGGAAAACTCAGTTTTCCCTCAAACTCTAGGAACAACATACTGTAGCATTAACTTGACTTCAGATATTTTACGTGAAGATCCCCAGTGCAGACTTGGCAATAGACATTTGGTTATTTAAGTTTAAAATATTCACTTAAAATGGAATGGGAAAATCTTAAAAGAAACTTAAGAACCCAAGTCAAACCTTCTGGCACCTCTGCTATTCTCAAAACTACCATTCAGCTGTTGCCTAATGCCTTCAGATAAGACTGGGATTCATATTCCTTGTAGATCAGAAAACCAATCAGTGCCACTGGCTAAATCAGCAGAACCCATTTACATAGTAGAACTCAGATTCTCTGCTGGTTAGTCTCCTACTCCCCTGGGAGGATGAGGGTTTGCAAACTAACTGGAAGTTATAGCCATAGCAAACAGGGAGAAGGTAGACCACAGCGGTGCACTGGCTTTTTGCTGTGGCTTTTACTTCAAAAGGCACTGCTTCTGTGTTTTGCTGCACAGGACTGCCACTGTGCTTTAGCAATGGGAGAAGCAGTGCCCTTTGAAGTAAAAACCACAGGAAACAGTTGAGCAGATTTTCCTTAATTCATCAATTGACTGAGAATTGAACTGGTTGTGAACCGCCCAGATACAAATGACCCAGGTTCTTCTGTATAGTGGAACAGGTCCAGTGTGAGAAGCAGAGAGAGAGAGACACCCTTCCCAAATCAAGGATTAGAACTTGATTATATCAAGGATCTAAATCAAGGATTAGAACCTCCTAAATCCAAGAGGATTTCTCTCACCATTAAACTATTGGTTGAGTTGGAATTGGTATGTTTCCAGTTTTACACAGTTGGCAAAAGAAAATATATGCTACTGAATCAGAGAACCTGTGTGGTAGCAATGAAGTTTGGTGCCCAGGGCAAAGCCCACAGTGGTAGCCTGCCTTCATCCCACGCACAGATCCAGGGGGCACATGCCCCCCCATGCTTGCCTGGGAGAGCCCGGAGTGCTCAGAGCCACTCTTCCCCCATCCCTGCGCCCCTCCCCCCCCCAAATATGCTGTTAAGAAAATGGAGTTGCACCTTATATGCATTGCATGCATACCAGCACTTTGTTTGTTAAAGGGTTCAAAAGAAAGAGAGTGAGTATTCATTCGCCACATACAGTGGTAAAATAAAAGGATTGTCGTTCTGCTTAATGACAAATGAGCCACTCACAACTTCATCCTGTGGCCCACCCCAGCTGGGCAGCTCCTGTTGGTGCCCCTTCACTTTGGCAACCAGGGTGGTCACCCCACTCATCCTCCACCCCCCCGCTATGGCACTGGCAAACCTGGTTCTAGATACAAACCATAGGAGATGGGTCAGCCCTGCCCTTTCCTCTGCAATTTCAGTGTTGGCTAGATTAAGAAGCTCCTTGTTCAGCTGGCTTCTGAAGACCATTTCTTTAAGTACCTAACTCTTTCTATGTATTAGCTCAGGGCTAAGGATTTTAGCTGGCACCAGACCCCTCTTAGGTTAGGTGTTGCTGTGCTAAGCAGAGCAACACCTAAATATCCTTGATGAGCTCATTAAAGCCAGAAGCCTGTTCCTGAAATGGATAGCTCCAAATACTTACTTTTCTATTTGTTGTTTCTAGCCTCGCTAGTGCAGATTCACCTGCTCATCTCATTCACTTCTCTTTCATTTAAAGACAAACACTCATTTCTGTTTGGCTTTTAGGGATATGATGGACGGTCACCTCTAAGAAAGCACTGTGTGGGCTGCTTTGGAATGCATTCTCCCAAGCTCCTCTGTTGGGAGGCAGCTTTTCTCCTTAGGAAAACTCCTCCATGCTGTGACAGATGATACTTGCATGGGTCTATCTATCTTCTCCACACCCACTGAGATTCTGTCTCTCAGACTCCCCATCCCAAGGGACACTTTGTTTTCTTCTCCAGCCTCTTTTTCTCTGCATAAACTTAAGGAGCTTCAAACTTGTTCAGTGTGGACCAGAGCAATTAGGCAACATCCCTGCAGCTAATACAGTTACCTCTATGGAATAGTAATGTTAAGAAAATATTGATGTATTTGACCTGTTTTATATGAAGCATCTTAAACTCTCTTGACAAGGATTAATTGGACCCTTTGCTTTTACTCTGCACTTCCTCTCCCCTTAATCTGTTTTATTCTTACCACATCACTACTTCTGTTTGCCTGCTGCACAGTCCCCTGGTTTGGCACTTGTTTTTATATAGTTCCTGGTTCCCTCCTTCCATATGTCCCCCAATTGCCTTATGTCCCATTGATGGTTCTTGCTGTATTCTGCCTCCAGTCGTGGAGAGTGACCGTCTCTTCCTTTTATCAGGGAATAAAGCCAACAGGAGGAATCTAGGTTTTTTTCACCTTCATTTACAGCTACTTTTACAAGCATCCAAATTCTTCTCATGGCATCAAAGGCAAGCTGACACCATGCCAGTACCCGCCCATTAACCACAGTATGAGAAAGTATGAGAGAGGCATTCAGTTTGTCAGTAACATGGAGCTGGGTTGGATCCCCTGAAATGGATACATCTGAGCTTCAGATAATCTGCTTAATGACCAATTGTACTAAGAGCTAAAATTTAAAAGAATGCAGGAATCATCAACCTAAGCACAACTTCCTCCTCTCCTTGCATGCACATAGGAGAGTTCTGTAAGATGGCTGAATCACTCGATCAGTTGGCAAGTGGCGTTACCAATGCCTGCTATCTATACATTTTGTCAAGTGGGTGAAGCGTCACGTTCTGTCTAGGGTTATATAGGAGACCTACCAGCAAAATCTGATTGGAAGACGCACCAAATCATCTCATCTCCCATATCGTCTGGCCACAACCCACAGGGCAGTCCCTGTATGTTTTGACATTTGATCTCTGCTTGCTTTGGGTAGTAGTAGATCTGGTTGTTGTATGCCCCTTCAAGCCTTAGGTCAGTTATATTGTTCCCATAGGCTACAAACTTACATTATTTATTCAAATAGAAGATGACCCTGATTATAAGATGACTTCCTAATAATTAGATTCAATATGTGGAAGATTTGTTCCAGGTATAGAATATAATGATTGGAGATTTGCCTTGAATTTGTCGCTCTCCCACTAGTGCAGCAGGGAAAATAAATTTGGGGGTCAGGTTCCCCCTTGCTCTCTTTTCCCCTCAACCTTTTTCCCCTAGCAGTCCCTTCTCCCTCTCCTTACTGTTAGGCCCTACTTTCCTTGATCACATGAAAATGAGAAAATTTGAAAACAATAACATTGAAATTGTGCTAATTAGCCCTGACTTAAAATTGGGACCAGTATTTTTGGGATGCTCCAAAAATATGCAGATAAGGTTCAGGGCAACCTGATCTGACTTCACCTCATGGAGGGTGGGGCCACACTAATAATATGTGACAGACTGACGGGAGGTGGGGGTGATGGAGGGATTCTGGGTGAACTGTATGGAGCCCTGTTTGATGATGTTTACCAGGCATTTAAGGCTGGTGAAGAAACAGGACTCATTGAAAATACGATAGAAATGTACAGCTCAGCTGTGGAAGTAGAGAGGGATAAAAAATGTATGCAACGTAGTGGCTCACCATGACTAAAAAGAGTTGGTGGTGAGGAGTGCACTTAATGAGCACTGTCATATGTATTATTTAGATGGGCTGCACTAATCTATCCTTGTACATTCCCATGTTTGCCCACAGGAGGCTATTTTTTTTTATAGTCATGCTCAGTATTGTCTGCATTTAATCAGTTTCATAGTTGATTTTCATTCCTGAGCACAGGCTGCTTTTGGCCATCAGTTTAATGATAGCCGTTGAATTTAAAATGGTTTTCTTGTATGCAAGTGGGGAAGCATGCTGATTGGAGAGAAATACCTTATCTTGTATTAGAGTAAATATGGTATGTTCTATTAGGGAAATCTTATGGAGAGATTCTGAACCACAGTCTAATAATGCAATAGCAGGTATAATTAAAAATTATTTTGTAACTTATTCTTGCTAACATGTGCTTGGTGCTTCTGATCTTTGATTACCGATTAGAATAAACCAAAACAACTTTTCTTTTGTGGAATAATGATCAATTCGTCTCCTCAAAAATGTTACCAAGGCAAGATGTATTTAAAAAAATCTGTAAAAAGAACTTGAATATGGTAATATTATCTGAGGATTTTGAAGTAGAGGAGTAAAGATTATTACCTTAATTTACTGTAAGGTTCCATAAGGTAAATGCAAAACTTAATGGCTGTCACTGCAAAATAAAAATAAAGAGGCTAGAGAAAAAACAACACAAGCACTTTTAGAGACTGAGTTTACAGCTCATTAAGTTGATGCTAAATATCAGCCTATGAAATGGGTCTTAAAATCTCTGTCAAAAGTTTGCCAGAAATGTGTTTTTTAATAACAGTATCACACTGAATACACCAGAGACCTTAATAACATTTGAACTGTCACTTTTCCAGGCATCAATAAATTTACAAAGAAACTTCGAAGTCCATATGCAATTGATAACAATGAGCTACTTGACTTCCTTTCCAGAGTCCCTTCAGATGTACAAGTGGTGTGTATATTTTTTTTCATTCTCATCTAGTTGTCATTTTAATATAAAACACTATTAATCCTATATTATTATGTGTTGATTTTTAAGTTGTGTTTGGACTTTGCATTCTCTGGGCCAAATAAATTAAAACTCAAATAAGGGGGTAAAATCCAGTTAAACTTAAGCAAGTTTGCTGTACTTTTCTGGTTGAGGAGTTAGTTATTGCCATGGTTGTGCCTTTGAGGATCCTCAGGGGCAAGCAGTAAAAAAGAAGAATGTTTGGGAGATGGCAGTGGGTGACGGAGTGTGTATTAACCAACCTCCAGGGATTAGGTGAATATCATTGGAGTATTGTACTGCTGGGTTTTTTTGTAGGAAGTGCTGCTGCCTGAGGCCATCAGCACCTGAAGGGAGGAAATAGGAATGTCAGATAATGAAAGGAAATGCAGTAATGCAGAGCCAGTGGCAGGCTATTTTGCCCAGTATCTTGTGGTAGCACTGTAAAATTTAAGATACTGCCACCTGTTTTTCTAAGGTGAGAATTTTTGTTTTATTTGAGAATTGGGGTGAAGTCACTATTTTTTTTTTTTTTTTTTTTAAGAAAATGAGTGTTAGATGTGCTTCTATTGTGGTACAGGATCTTTGATATGAACTCTTAAGTATAAAGGTGAGTTAGAGCATAAATCGGTAGTTGTATTAAGAAGCTGATTATGTTTTCAAGTGTTTTCAGGTGCTGGTTTAATTCAGCCTTGGTGTGAGTACGAGTTATATACACTAGATCTGAATCTAGTCCCTTCCATGGTGAGCTAAGTTTAAGTTTGAGAATGCATTAAAAAAAGCAAACAAACTCAAGAAGCAGATTTGAAGGAATTTTGTATCCATTTCTTTAAAGTGGATATTGTTTATTTTCAATGTAAGATCTTGGAGAGGGGAGAGAGTGTTCTTCACTAACGTTTACATCTGTTCACTGTTTTATTTCCTGGCAGGATATTCCTTATGCTGTTTTTCCTCCTTACTCCAGATCTATCATACCATTGTTTTTGTATCCCAGCTGCAGATCCCACACTGTGTGCATGGAGACAGCACTTTTTCTCCCTAGGAAAAAAATAAAACTCTCTCATTCTTTTGCTAGTGAGTTGCCACCTGACCAGTTTCTCTCTGAACATTGTGTTTAAACAGGTGCAATACCAAGAACTGAAACATGATCCCAGTCACAGCCCAAGTAAGAGGAAGAAAAACAATCCTGGCTAACCAGCTTCATGTTCGGAGAGGACTAGCATCTGCTGGGGGAAGATAAAAGGAAAAGCCCAAAGCCTAAGCAGCACTTCCTTTCTTTAAGCTTTTTATTTTGCCTTTTTATCCAATGGAGAGAATTTGTAAATATTGTACAAAGGCATTTACCATTGAAACTATACTTACTTACCATTGTAGAGACAAATTTGGTGAAGGTTTAAAGTATGGCTTATGCTTGTGTGAAAGCCTTATAAAAAACATAACCCATTACACGGATTAATGTAAAATAAGAACTGGCAGATATTTTGTAATGTAGGAGAAGGCACATATAAATAAATATTCAAGTCATGCTGATTAAATCTGCAAAAATGTAAATTTAAATCTGATTCAAAAAAGGCAAGTGAAGTTTTATTTGTGAGCATTAATATTTGTATTGTTAGTCTCCATTACGCTTTTTCTATGTTTATACATTTCAAGAGAAATACAGTGCGATGGAACCTACTGCACTTCAGTTTTATCAGAAATCCTGAACTTTAGATCCCAATGTTAACATCTTGTACAATGTATTCATGCTGACTAGGACTGCTTGTAAGCTCATTAAGTGTATACCAAGTGTAAATCCCTTTCTGGGACTCCATTCACTGAAGAAGTTACCTGCCACTTTTATCATTCCATCATAAGATTTTAAAATACATACATCTCTCTAAAAATACTGCCAGGTTTGTAATTGCATATGTAACTTTTTATATGTACCACTAATCTTAATTTGTACTAACTAGTTTGCACCTGACCTCAGTACTTTATTCGCTAAAAAAAATATCATCACACTAAATCCATCTCGCTTCAGGTGTCAGATTATGAACACCATTTGTGCATATACAAATTTTAATACCAAACTTACAGAAAATGTTTTTGCATTCTAATTGCAAGGTCATATTTTAAATGCTTTATGGCATATTTCATTATGTGTTACCCATGTGAAATATAGTGTAAAAATGCAGTGTGGTAAAAGTGATATTCCAGTTTATTTCTTTAGTTAATTATATAATTGGTCCTTCTGATACAGCTGTGCCCTATTGCATTGCATGTAAATTCAATGAAACATACAGAAAAATGGTTTCTATTTAAAATATTTTAAATAGTTGTTGGATAATGAATACTTTGGGACATAGTCTTACGTCTCTGCATGGAGAGTTATACACCTGGCTCTCCATATAGCAAGTTGAGAGTATGTTACTAAGGGCCTCATTGTATGTCTGCTACTTAAATCTCCTTGTGATGTCAGAGGGAATTTGGTCCAAGTGAAAACTGAAGGACTACACCCTCAATAACTAAGCGATCCATGCCCTACCCTGTGAAACATCTGGCTTTTTGTTGCAATTGCTGGGAAAGTTTGTGTTGCAATACTGTAACAATACATTTTGATAAAGGATATTTAGGAGGAATATGCAGGGAGTTGAATGTATATATTAATGTCTAAAGAATTATTCTTTAGCTGCATTGCTCTTTAGAACTATTTTAAAATTATTTTTATGTTAAAGATATGTTGCTAATTAATGTTTCTTATAGGAGAACTATTTTGATCTTTTCTGTTTGTACAAAGCTCTGGAGAGAATGCCAGTCATATTACCTTTCTGTAGAAAGGCTCTGACCTAAATATGCTCCAAATAGATCATCATGTTATAGTGATCTATTTAAAAGGCATACATATCTATCCTGTCATCATTCATTGCTGAAGAACAATACACCATTAACGATGTCAACCTTATTAACGACCTTTATCGATAAGACTTTTGTTTGCAATAACTTTCAATTTGATAATGTAAAAAATTGTTCTGCGCCGACAATGTCTACAGACTTCCTCTGATATACTGCAAGCCTTGCACTCTTTTGCTATTGTCCATCATTCTGTGTGAAACTTCATGTTTGTTTAGCTGTGCTCAATTTTCATCTGTTTATTTCAGTGATAGCGTCTAACATTTGTCCATTTACTGCATTAAACACAGACACTTTTATGTATATCAGTATTTTAGGTATTTGGCAGCATTTTTCTTTGTTATCCTACACCCACATGTTCCTATGTATTATATGGTGAAAGACATATCAACTGAAGCTGAATGAAAACTTAATGTTGCAGTACTGAGTGGTATTTTTCAGGATCAAAATTAAAAGGAGAAATTCTGGTGGAGTGGGGAATCTACTGGTTAATAAAATTATTTAAATTATTTGATGCCTTCACTATTTACAGTCTCGCTACATGCAGAATGCATCAAAGCAACACCATTGCCTTAAATTACCTTCACAGGGTTACCTGCACCAGTAAGAAAACAGTTTCTTCACCAAAATGTCAGTGATTTGGTTATGAGCCCATTCTCTCTCTGCCACATGTTCAATTTAAGGCATGATGGAAGCCAGCCAAAATATATGGGGCACATTTTGTTGAATAATTTTGTGGCTGGTTTCCCATTTTGTCTCACTATTAATTGCCTGAACATGTGGCTAGGTTACTATTTAAGTTGCTATTAACAAGTTAATCAGGTCTTAAGTGTAACATCTGCCAGGAGCTTTAATCAGAAGGACTCTGGGTTTTATTCATAACTTCACGACTAACTCAAAATATGAACATTACTTGGGCTGGTTATTCTTCAGTTTCACTTTGCAAAGAAAAGAAATGGTTCTCACAGTGGTATTATGGCTTTAGTGAAAGGTGCTGCCATAGTGCAGATAACATTTTGAATATTTTTTTTCACATTTACTTATACTGCAGAAAGTTTTGTTATCCTTGAGTTCAAATATTAGTGAAATATAAATGGTTTAATTTTAAAAGGCCCCATGAGTGATAGCAGTTAATGTTAATTTTAACTTCTGTGGTTTACTGTAACTTCAGGTGGTTAATGAAAGAGTTCAGAGGACTACCAGCAACCAGGCAAAATGAGATACAAAGTGACATCATGAATAGGAAAAAGTATACCCACTTCCCTAATGAAACAGTAGTATACCAAATGATAGTCAATAAAAATTTACCTTTACTGCCATTTAACAAATCAGTGAACAATCTAAGATAACCCTGTTAAGCCCTTACGTAGCAGTAGCTTCACCAGCTGTCAATAAAAGCAGCTCCCTCCCATTTCTCCTTAACCTGCCCCCCTAAGAGAGGCTATGTTTGCAGATGCATGCTAGTTGCTTTTCATTTTGTAGCTGGCAAAACTTCTGAAGAAGGAGAGAAACTTACATTTTCTTTTTCCAGGGGAGGCAATTTCCAGGTCACTTTGCAAGAGTCACTTGCATCAAGTGAAGGCAACTAGAGACAACTCTTTTTTTGAAATGGCAACTTCTAGGCTTTAGGTAAAAGCCTTCCTTTCCCATACCTCCACGAAAATGAATTCTTTGATCTTCTACCTTCTCCAGACTTTTGAGACCAGAAGAGGAATTACAGGTATGGGGCAATGCAAACTGTTGGAGTACTTAGAATAACTTCAGCCTAACCAAAAAGAAAAACACAATATAAAGGACACTGATCTTCAAATCCCTGGCTCCCAGAAAGGGATGTGTTTTTTAGGCTGTAAATGGGATCTGTATAAACATGAACACTTACAAAACCCGCCATTATATTTTTGAAAGCACTTGCAGAACTGGGTGGAAGGTGAATATGGCTGAGCATGAAACAGTTGTGTTTAGAGGGTGGGGAGGGTGTTTGGAGAGCTAGAGAAAGGAGTTGACAAGAACAGATCACCCAAGCCCTTGGAAGCTAAAAAAAACAAAACAGTGCCAAGGAGCATGTATCACTAGTGTTTGATAGCCCTGGAGGGTATGTGAAGGAGCCAGACAGGTGAGAGCATCAGGAAAAGCAGGTGACTTGCAGCAAGATCCATACTAGGTGCCATACAGCCTTTGCATTACAATAATAAAACCGGAGAATTTAAGGTTTTTGTAAGTTATATTAGTTCAATAAAATAATTGTTGAAAATGCTTCTGAACTGAGGGGGTGGGTAAAAAACCAAAAAGCCCCAAGCCACTTTGCCCAGACAAATCTGGAAGTAAAGAAAAGCTACTTCCACCCCCTAAAAGTTACTAGCACAATATCCAGAACAGTTTAGAAAAACAATACTGTAATCCTAAAGGATGAGAAGCTCTTGTTCACTGAGGCAGAAGGGTGCTTTGTGCAGGGGAAAGGCTTGTCTTGGGCCCATTTTCTTGGACACACAGGAAGCAGTGTATGATCATGCATAACCTTATTACAGTAATCCTCTTGCCTTCCCCTATTCCTTCTAATTGTGGCCTGTTCTTCAATAATGAATGCTTTGGAGCAGGAGCTCTCTTTAATAAGGTATTGTTACAGCTCATAGTGCTATTGGGCCAGTTATTGGCTGGGGCCTCTTGGTGATATTCTTAATGGTTATAATACTCTAATGTAAGTAATACAAGTAATTCTGCTATATTTGCTTCATGGAGAATCTCTTGTTTAATTCAACAAAAACATAAACATGGTTCTGTCTGTGTTGCTGGAAGAATAAAGACCAATGTTGTCCCCTCTGGCAGATGTTTCTCCTTCCACATTATTTAGTTATCTGTTTATTTCCATTGTTTAGGGTGGCTAGGAGCTGCCTGTGAAACTCTTCAAGATTATTTCAGGTAAAAATTAGGATAGAAATTGAAATGATCAGACTTAAAATGTACCTATAGCATTTCGATATAAAAGGAAAATATCATGGGGTTGCTAAGCAGGATGATAAGAACAGGGTTATTGCGTATGCAGCTTTAGATGCTTATGCATCTGCAGAACATAAGAATTAAACTACTTTTTTATTTCGACTAACATATACTAATGCACAGAGTCTATACTCTATAGCTAAAGGGACAAATGAATTTGCTTGAACAACTGAGTTATTTCAATCAAATCAGAATATTGCACTTTATTTTGGCAAAGTTTAACAAAGGCTTCAAGAAAAACAGGAAAGCTGTTTTCTAAAGGGCGTTATGGTATTGGAGTCAGAATATTTTAGGGGTGGATATAAGAGGGTTATTCTAATGTAGGGGTTGGCAACCTATGGCCTGTAGGCTGAATCCTGCAAAGTCAAGACTCTGGTAGCATTTCACTGGCCAGGCAGTGGCTGGGTGGTGAGGTAAGTGGCAACAATGGCTGGATTGGAAGGGTTGGCATGCCTTGGGCAGAACTTGGTAATTTTACTCTACCATTACTGAAGCATTGCTGCCCTCTGTACTAGTGAAGTCTCCAGTCTGAAACACGTATTTTCCCCTTGCAATAGTCTGGTCTTGTGCTAAGTCTTATTGCTCCTAATTACTTGTAGTGATTTGATTTTTTTTTAAAAACCACCATTTGGCCCCTTTCTCTAGAGGGCAATGCTGAAGCTGTGCTTTGACCACACTCTTTCCAAAACAAACATAATGACATTTAAAAAGAAAATGACATTTTAAATGGTTTACATTTGTAGCTGATGTACAAACTGTCAAATGCCAGGAAGTTCAAAATTAGGTCTGCTATTTAGATTTTTAATTTAAGCTGAAGGGAAGAGGGTGAGAGAGATCCTCAGTGACGTAGTGCAGTGGTGGGGAATTTTGTTCTGCCCCTGTTTGGGGGACACGCTGTGGGGTTAAGTGCCCACCAGTCCTTCAGATCACAGGATTGCTGTGCAGCCTGGCACAGCTGATGCTAAGCAGGATGATAAGAACAGGGTTATTGCATATGTGGCTTTAGGTGCACTGTCAAATCTCTACACGGAGGCTTATATGTCTGTCCTTGCTACTCCTGGCTAACACTGGTGCATTAGTCCCTCGGTTTTCATGAGCACTAAATTAAATGACCCATTGGAAAAAGGAAAATAATACCGTACATTAAGAATGAACTATTTTGAATTTCCTGGATACTGTCTGCGTCTCTGCTTGAAAATTAAATCCTTCTTTGTACTTGATACACAGTCAATGAAAGGTGAGGTGCAGTTGATGTTTGACAGTCTGGACTGTTCCTATACTGATACATTATATTACTTTGTGTTGGCAGAGCCCTACAGAGTGAGCATCTCCAGCTGACATTCCACACATCATCAACCTTTTACCCTACACTTCATAGCTACCTAACACATGTGCACATACCCAGCAACACCCTGATCTACTGAAATAACTCAATATTCAATGTTTGGAGAACTAGTACATGCACATGCTGCTTATTTTTACTCGCTTACCCTTTTCTCAGTGACAATCTACAAATGAACTTTGGTATTTTTCCAAATGCATGTTGTTTGTTCGAAACAGTTTCACAATCTTGGATTCAAAATGTAGTCTCTCACAAATTGGATCTATTTGTGCCATGTCCTTTACCAAAGGTAAACAGACCTACTGCAACATTTTTCAAAAGCACTGAAGTCCCCTTGACTTCCAGTAACTTGGGGATCTTTGTACACCTGATTAACACTGTCACTTCATAGAACCTGTTAACCTGTCCACTGTACTATGTCCATGTAGCAGCACTGTTGGTTTGGAAGCCAGTCTGTACAGAGGGACATGAAGACACCAGTGCCTTGTGTAGGGCTATGCTGCAAACTAAGTTACTAAGGAACTTTTGGAAAATAACCTTGTTTCTGAGTGGCAATGATGTCAATCTTTCAAACCAAAGTCTGGCCATTTAATTTCAGTTACAGAATAAATAATATAGCCTGCTACCAAATTCAAGCAATTATATAGTCTATGTAAAATGTTGAACTAGATAAAACATTTTTTGAAACTCAGAATTTTAAGAGCCTTTGGCTTTGAATGACCTGTAAGAGAATGGGATACATTCAGCCTTGATAAGTGAAAAGAAATGGAAAAGCCCAGTCTGCCCTTTGCTTGGAGTCTCTACAGAGATTTAAGTAGGGTGACTGGTGGCACTTTCTTTCCCTTTCATTATTCCTATCCAGTTGTTCTGTATGTTTTTTCAGGGCAAGAGTCGAATTTCCATAAACCATGATGTGTGTCTCACACGTTGTAAAAAGTATTGTGTGAAATATTTAGGCGTTAAAAAATCTGGGTAGGGTAACAAGGCAGGAGGTAGCAGTTCAAGACTTTCCTCAGAGTGGGGGGACTCCAAGCTGCAACCTCTCTCCCTCCTTCTCCCTCCTTCCTAGGAGAACATCCTACCCAGTGGCATTTCTAGGATGGGGCACTTTCCATACTCAACCCCTATGTAAAACATATATTACAGTACATGCACACATGTGCATAAGTGCCTGCACACATACAAAATGTGGAAACCTGGTTCCTGTTCCAAAGAACTTTTATGTATTTTACTTTAACCACTGGATGAAACACAGGGCAGGTGTGAATCCCTTAAGGGCAGGGGCAGCAGACTTGGTGCACAGGCCAAACCTGCAGTTCTGAAAGAGGAGAACAGGAGGGGTGAGAATGGAGGGGTGCAGCATTTTTACCCATGCTGCAACTCCTAAACAGTTCCTGGTCAAGCTGCTGCTACTGCTGCCATGTGCTCTGCTGGTCCTGGCTGTTGCTCTTAAAATAGCATCTGCTGCTACCAGGCACTGTTTTGAAGGTGCTGCTCTGTGTAAGCCATCGGGCTGCTTCTGCTGCAGGGCACAGATACCAGGGGGGCAAAGGGCACCCCTTCTAACTTGGCAGCTGGGGCAGATGCCACTCCCACCTACCCCTAATTATACTACTGCTTAAGGGAAAAGAAAGATCTTAACCCAGATCTTCCACATCAGGGCCAAGTGCTTTAACAAACAGTCTGCTGGATAAAGTGGGGTGACTCATGTCTTAAAACACAGGTGTGAGCCTTGTTCTGGTTTTGAAAGGCACATTGTAAGCACTTACCATCAGG